AAAACGACCAAAACCGACGACCATAGTCGAAAATTGACGTTCTTGTTAATAAACCACGAGCTAACCGCAAATTGCGGTTCGTGACCAGTTCAAGTCGTCTGCAATATCGCCGAACCAACGACTATGGCTGACTAATAGCCATCAGTGCATATTTTTATGTTCCATCGGCAAGATTAATGTGCACTGAGTGGACATTTTCATTTTTCACCTCAATGCACTACGCCAGTTTTTTGCATCCAGTGCAATGATAAGTACCTACCACAATACCCATGAAATATTTATATAATAATTATAGATTTTGTTTCATCTACACTTGGACCAACCCAAAGCCCCGAACTAGGAGGATTATCAGTGAACCTTGATGAAATAGTGCGATATAGTGGAAACCCTACGCACGCTGCTGCGCCAACGACGTCACTGAAAATTCGGCGTAATCTGCAGGAAATACGTTCACCTTGCACGGACGAGTGTCCGGCCTAACAATACCTTGCCCTGCAAGAGACGGTGCTTTGTCRTCAGTCATATACCGACTAACCTCCCGGCCATATATCTGAGATGTACCGACCCGAGTCTAGTCTTTATAGGTGGTAGCCACTAGCCGCTTTTTTGGCGCACACGCTACCGATGGACAGCYAGCTCAGTCCTCTACAATTTGGTAGGTTCACCATGACAGTAAACATATTCAGACATTCCCTAATATTGTAAATAGCACAGTTTACACGAACCACACTGTATTTAATTCAATTAAATGGTGTGACAACATCCATTTATTTTGCTACTTGCCGGCACGCGTAGTGTAGTTAAAAGCAATTTCTAAAAATCTTAAAAAGCTCTCAGGCATAGAGTTTTACATTAATTAATGTTGTTCATGCACTACAGTTTATTTAAAAAATACCTTCACATTATGTTTGCAAAAAAAGTATAGGTTTCAATTTAAATTAGTTACACAGTGTCAATTTCAGATGGTATTTGTAGTATAGATGATATAGGTATGAAGATATCTTCATATACTAAAACAAACTCATTCACATTTACCATCATCATCTATACTGCAAATACTATTTGAAAATTTGAAATTGACACTGTGTAACTTCTAGTTGGGAAATAAGATGAYGAACTTGTCCTGTTTTATGATATCCTTGATAAATCCATTCAAAACTGTTTTTTTCTTCTGTTAAATCAATATTTACAATTTCTTCTTCCGTAAAAGAACTATTGCATGTTTATAATTTGCATGTTGAGTTGAGATGACTTACATTTATTTTTATAAAATATAGCTTGGTACCATAAAAAGTTTTTTGTGAACCCTTTTAAGATTGTGAATTTTGATTGATTATTTTTGAATTTCCTAAAATAATCTGGTTTTTCATGTTCCCTGATGAAGTTTGRTAAAGTATTTATTGCAAGATTTTCAATTAATGTGATATCACTTTCTAGGAAGCCACCTGATCATCATATCCATTGAAAATTAAAAAGTTTTTAATCCAAATTGGCAAATTAACAAGAAGTTCCAACTCCRCTTCTTTGAATCAATGAACTTTACAGTTTGCATAATAAAACTGTATAATAACTAAGAATATTCAGTCCAGAAACAATCAAGAAGTATTTTAGTATTCATAAGTGTTTATTGTGTTAGACAATGAAACTGTAATAACTTGCATATTAAAATAAATACAACGTACACGAGGTAAGACTTGTAAGTGCGTACTGCACACTTTTATTATACAACAACATAACCTTAATATAATAATATTATAAGTGAGTACCAACTGTTATATTATTACAGAAACTATACACACTAACCTCTATGACAACTACAATTTAAAAATCTGTATCGAAACAATACACATTAAATTATTAATTTTGCTGTCTTTAGATACTTTAACCAGCTTATTACCATCTTAAAATTTTTCCAACATCCTAATCATATTTAAAATATGATATTTTATTCCTTCATTTTAATGTATAAAATAGTAGCTAGCAAGTATATAATTCAAAATCGACTGCAGTCTTTTACTTCCTGTCTTATTTCTTCATTATTATAACTTTTATGCATCTTAGAATGTTTTTACAAATGTTCGCTAGTGTAGTCCTCATACATTTAATTTTCATTAACTGGTACATATTTTTAGAATTGAATCAAATTTGAATTATTATTTAATGAACTAATAGTATTGTGAATAAATTATTGGCATTTAGAATTTAGATTATAGACTGCAATTTGTACCCATTCTACCGTTATTTTTTTTTTTCATTAACTTAAGAGAATGCTACACATACATTTATTGTCTAGTCTTAGAATTGCATAATATTGCAAATTTACGTTCAGTAGATCACATTTAGCTTTGTTAGTTTAAAAATTAGAGTGAGTGACCTATTATGAAACTTAATGTTAAGAACATTACCTGTGTTTGTATGTAGGTTTTTTACTATAGTTYAATTTTGTAGCAAGTTATGCATGTGTAAAAAGCATAAATTAAAAATGCACATAACTCACTTAAAACTAAGTTATCGTACAAACCCCATATACAAACACTATCAATGTTCTTACCCTCAAGTTTCATAATAGGTCAATTAACTTTAATTTTTAACAAACAGAATTTAAAGTGATTTGCTAAGTGTAAATTTGCAATGCTACGCACTTGTAAGACGGAGACAACAAATATGTGTGCATCGTCCTCTTAACTAAGTTAATTTTTCATGTACCTGTAGTAAATAAAATGTAGATACTATCAGCTCGTCAAACWTATTATATTACTTATAGATCATATTATACATATATCAGTTATTATACTCAAACAATTTATCAACCAAAGTACAAAATATACATAATTATTATTTAGGTTTGTATAAACATTTTTTGCAATTCTTTAAAATTGTATTGACATTAACCATAAATAATATATATTATCTATGACAAACATAGATTTTTATAAACGATTTTAGAAATAGAATGAAAACATCAAAAAAATATTGATTAATTAATTACATTTTTCTACTTATTACCATTAGCTTAAACCAGTGTTTCTCAACCTTTTTGTGTTGGCAACCCACAAATTGACTGCTTGTTGGTCACCCACA